TGTCTTTTTTATTTCATTTTTTTCTAGGAATTTGTTTTGTTGTCTTGTTTTAATCTGTTTTTCCCTATAATACAAAAAGGATAGGTATACATGTAGAGATTCACACATGTAGAATTTCTAAACAGTTAATGGGAACAGATTATATAATGCACAATGTAATGAACAGACACTCTGAAGAAGAGACACTAAGATACCCACTGCTAACTGTGTAGTATTATGATATAAAATCCAGCAATACTATTATTCACTGTTCAGAGTGATATTAGTCTAGTCTCTTAAGTTTAATTTCAGCATACGTAAAGATATGGACAGCTACTTCAAAGAGAATGAGAGACCTTATGGCAGCCATTATTGACTTCCTTAATGTCAATTCTTGAAGACCTAAAAAGCCTTCATCATCCTGTTCTGATTAGATTGTACTATAATGTTCAGTATGTATTCACTACGTGTGAAGATAGGAACAATTATTTGGAAGGAAACTACAGACAATATGATAGAGAGTGAAGATCTCCAGTGGACTTGCTTTGAAATCCATGTTTCTTAAAATTGTTTCCTTATGATATGTTTTGTTCTGTTTTGTTATGTTTAATCTTACCCTCTTTAAAATAAAAAAGAAATCAGTGGGGAATATTGTACTCTAACTAAAACACTTCCATCTTGTTCTGTATGCATCATTGCCCTGGTAATCTTGTGCTCTTTCTCAATTTTTGTCCCCCTTTGGTGAAAGACAGTTGTTCCTGGAATTAGCCGACCACAAGTAGCCAAGTTCTTGTAAATAAGGAACTCATTGACCACCAGCTGCGAAAATTTCCACAAGGCAGGTGACTAAACGAGAAACTCTGTCCCCAAATCAAATAGGGAACAAAAAGCCTTCCTCACCCTTACCCCCTCCTACCCTTGCTTTGTGGTTTTTCCCTTTATAAGCCTCCCAAAAATCTAACCTGTTGCATAGTTTTGCAAATTCCAACGCACTGTGCCACCGGTGCCAGCTTAAATAAAGCACTCTTTCTTTTTGGATGTCATCAGTAGTTGGTTCACTCAACTGTGAATGCAGAAAAAACAGGGCTTGGAGTGGAGCTCAGTGGTAAAACCCTGGCTTACCATCAGAGAGACTGAATATGTGTTCCATTCCCTGCACTGTAAAAAGTATGCAATAGTAAGAACAGTAACATTTTTTTCCTTTCTGCTTCCTCTAAACCAACCATTTCTCAAACAAAAAAAGAAAAAAATGCCCAGTGTTCTGTAATCCAAAGTCCTGCACAATACCTCACTGCTGTTATCTTAGTCCATTTCTTGCTGCTGAGATACAACAGCTTCCTACAACTCTAAAACAGAGATGTATTTCATGGTTGTTTCTTCTAGTCACAAAAAACTGCTCCTGAATCTCTGGAAACATGGTGGTCTATGCATATGTTTTATTTTTATTTTTTAGATTACTTCCAGCTACCTTTCTGGGGAAAGCAGGAGCTGCTGTCTCACTGCAAGTAACTGTCACCAGGTTTAATGGCTCCACTGCCTCTTGGTGAGAATGGAGGCAAAACAGAACATCAGCAATAGGTGTCAGATAAAGCGGAGTTTATTTGCAGCAAATAAGAGTCCATGGGTAATCGCTACCAAAGTCCTGATGCTACAGAACTAGGCAAGCTAGTCTACTGGGCAGGAAAGGAACTGTCAGGGGAGGGAGGGGCACTGTTACCTGTGTGAGCACAGATGATTCTGTGCTGTCACAGTCTGACAATGTGCTCTTTCATACTTCCTGTGTCATGGGAATGAGGCTTTCTCTCCTTCCTGTGTGGAGACTTTGGTATTATAATGCACTGTCACTGCTTCACGCACCTTGGGGTAGTTTGTAGAACATCATTTCTGAAAAATCACTTAAAGAGTAACTTAAAAATCAATCATACACGAGGCATGGTGGCACCTTGGAGGCTGAGGCTGGTGGAGCAATGAGCTCAAGGCCAGCCTACACTGCACAGTGAAGCCCTGTCTCAAAAAGACCAAAAAAATCAATTACAGGCCAGGGATTTAGCTCAGCATATAAGCGCCTGCCTGGCAAGAGTGTGATCCCCCGTACCAAAAAAAAATCATCCATACATGTTTGGGGACTCAGTAGTGAATGAAAAGCCTGCACCTGCTCTGAAAGGCTCCTGAATGGATGAGACGCTTGCATGTTATTTTTTTAGGCTGCTAGCAGGGAGCAGCCTCATCCTGCAGTGTTGGAAAGACAGCTACTTACTGACATTTCAGGCCACCACTAAAAGACCCATCCCACTTTCCAGCCTTCATGTGGGAACTTGGGGATTAGGGTGCTATTGCTCTCTAAGCCTGCAGATATTTTGTCATTAATCTCTGTATCTTTGAGCACAAGGAGTAGAGTTTTCCCACATAACTAACCAATTGTCCCAGAATAATTTAGTCAATTGTGCACTCATTCTTACTCAGTCTGGTGTTACCTTCCTAATAAATGCTTGGTTTTGTATCAAATTCAGCTTTGGAGTTGGTATTATTTTTCATTTATTGACTTGTCCATGTTAAATACCTAAGGTTCATAACTATCATAGTTTTTTAATAGTGTCTTGATATTTGGTAGACCAATCTTATGGGTAAAACACTCGAGGCAATCCTCCTGCTTCAGCCTCCTGAGTTCTGGGATTACCGACATATGCCACCAAACCCAGAACCTCTGGTAGCTTTGGTATTTATGAGACTGTGGTTTATCTGGGAAATGGATTTTATCACATATTCAAAGAATTTATTCTTTAATACATTATGGCCCAAGTATTTCATGAAAAAAGAAAAAATATTGGCTGGTTTCTAGGCCAACTGAAGAAGTTGTGAGAACATTACACATCTCACATAGCACAGTCACTAAGAGTCCCCCTCTAAAGCTGGAACCCTGGCCTATTACTTGGTTTCCACAATTTCCTACCCACTATGCATTACATGACTGTGAAGGTTTATGTTCAGATGGCTTCCCATCAAGCCTCATGTAATCATGGGCAAGACCAAATCTAGCGTTTGTGATTGGTTTGCTGTCTGGCACTCAGATTGGTGGTGTTAGTGCTACACCCACACAGGGGTGGAGCCAACATACAGCATAACCACAAGGAAGAAGGTGTGTGTTTGTCTTTTGCTGTTTGCACTTGTTTGCCTTAGGCCATGAACCACTGCCCCTCAGCCATGTCATTCTGCCTGGGAGCCAACTGAGTATAGACTGAAACCCCCAACCTGTAAGAAATAAACCTTCCCTTCCTTAACGCTGGGCATCAGGTATTTTGTCTCAACAATGAGATAGAAAGGTAACTAAGACAGTGATTTTTGAGATTTTTTTTTTTTTTTTTTTGAGACAAGGTCTTGCTATTAGTCCAGGCTGGCCTTGGACTCCAGGCAATCCTCCTGCCTCCACTTGCCAAGTGCTGGGATTACAGACATGTATGATCACACCCAGCTGATTTGGGGGATTTATCTGTGCTCAAATACTTCTGGTTTCAAAGACGAATTGTGTATTCAGAGGTTGCTTCAAGAATTCAATGAGCTAATCTTATGCAGTACTTAGAACAAAGCATTGGACATAGTAAGTTCTAGATAAATACCTGCTATTCTCTTTACCCATTTTTAGGGCCTAAATAAAAATGCAAATCTTTTTTAAGCGTGTATTAGTCAAAGACTACTAAAATTCGTTAAGGTATATTTATTTAAGAATATAACATACTTTGATCATTCTGTCAAGTTCTCCCTCAATCCCTCCCCATCTTTTCTTCTCATAGTCTCCCCTCTACTTTTAAGTTATCTCTTTCTCTCCCCCTAAATTCCATATATGATTAAAACCATGCATTATTTGACTGATTCTGGCTTATTTTATTTAGCATGATGGTCTCTATCTCCATTCACTTTGCTCCAAATGACAGGATTTCATTCTTTATGACTGAGAAACACTCCACATGTATGGAGAGCATTTTTTATTCATTCATCTGCTGATGGACATCTAGGCGGTTCCCAAAGTTTAGCTACTGTGAACTGTACTGCAATAAATTGGGAATTCATGAATCTCTACTGTGCTGAACTTTAATCGTTCCAGGACAAAACAGACTTTCTCTGAGAAAATGCAGTCAAAATTCTTGGGCTTGCTAGGCCTCACACCGCTGATAACTTAGCACTGAGCCTGGCACATACACTAACATTCACAATGATTGGAGTTTAGCACTATAGGCCAGACACTGTGACAGCTTTCTTTACACGTTAATGTATTTTATTTAATCCACCCCAAAAGCCCGCAGGCAGGAACTGTTATAACTCCATTTTACACACAGGGAAACTATCTCACAGCCAACAGCTGAGTCAGGACTTAACCCTTAACCCAAGGCAGGGTGCTTTCCAGTCTCTCAGTCTCTGTGCCGCGCATTTGCATCCACCTTAACCAATAAAGACGAAAATCACAGGGCGGAAGTTCGAAACCTAGACTTAAGGAGGAAAAGGCAGGTAGATGGCCAAAAGTTGGAGGCCAGCCTGAACTACAAAGACCCTGCTTTAAAAAAACGAAAGACAACAAACAAACAAAAAAAGCAGACTCACAGCTATCAGGAAGAACCCCGTCTAGTCTACTTTTATCGGCTTTATCTTAAGGCCACAAGAGGCCTGGTCCCCCACAAAATGACAAGCAGCCCGCAAGCAGAGCGCAGGTGTCAGTACAGCTCAGCCCCTTTACCTAAGCCAGACCCGACTACACTCGCCCCGAGTTTCACGCAAACACGCAAAGACCCCTGGAACCTCCTAGGTATGCCGACTGCAGAAGCGATCGCCCCGCCCCTTCCCGCCTCCAAGTCCCAAGTCCCGCCGCGCACTGCGAGGGAGGCGCTGCCGCGATGGCGCAGACAGCAGGCGATGTAGCCTATTTCCAGAGGGGAAGCCTGTTCTGGTTCACAGTTATCACTGTCTCCTTTGGCTATTACACGGTAAGCACAGAGGCTGCAGATTCCGCCCTGGCTGAGGGGAGAGGCCGCGCAGGCGCAAACGCAATCCACGGCTTTGCAGGCGCACTGGGAGGCCAGGGCCGAGACGAGCGTTCGGAACTCTGAGGAACTGGCTTGTCAGGTTTTCCTAGGCATGAGTAGGGCGGCTCTCCACCCAGCGAGCCTTTCAAGATGGTGGTGGCGAAGTCGGAGGCCAGTAGGGATGCCACTGCCTACTTCCGTTCAGCCAGACTTTGGCCCGCACTGATCACAGTCCTGGGGCTGGGATACTTCGCGGTGAGGCTTGGGGCGGGTGGCGCACTTCTTGAGCCCACCCGGCCCTCGTAGGGCAAAGCGGGCTGTGGGAATGGTGTCACTGCGCACGCGCCTGTGGTGGTTGCTTAGGTTACTGGTGTATGCGGAATTTCGGTGGGAAGATTTGTGCGCTTTTAGCATGGTGTTTGTGCTGCCGAAGCCAACACAATGTCCCACTCCCTACAGTTAGTGAAATTTACTCTAGTCGGAGCCTCTCACAGAGGTGGAATTAAAGTCCACAGTCTGCCCTAGATCTGTCAATTCAGGCTGAGAGCTTCCAAAGCAGAATGAAGCAGCTGAAATTGGGAAGCGGAGATAAACCTGAAAGGTGGTAGGATGTCACTGGTAAGAAGGGCCAGTGAGGCTGTAACTGTTCTGACATAGGTGTGAACGCTAGAAGACAGCTCTCGAGAGGAAGAGCGGAAGAGCGGCTTCAGTTTAGATGCGGGTTTGTTTAAAGATAATGGGAAAATGCTGGGAGGTAAATTGAGGGCTACATTGGTATAACTAGGAATGAAGGTAAAGCTATTTGGATATTGCCCAGGAGATCCTGGGGACTAGAAATTTGTCATGCCTGTAGGGTTGTTTGTTGGTGTCAATGATGACAACCTCTGTCCTGGGTTCCTCATATGTAAAATGAAGACACTGAAGTGAAATTTTTCCACGGTGAAGTTTGGTTCTTCGAATCTGTGTCTCTAATTAGAATATAGAAGGAAGAAAACTTTGGGGACTACAAATTGAGATATTGTAGAACTGGCAGATGCGGGGCTGGGGGTTTAGCTCAGCGGCATAAGCGCCTGCCTTGCAAACAGGCAGTCATGAGTTCGATCCCCGGTACCGATAAAAACGAAAAAGACCAAAAAAAAAAAAAAAAAAAGAACTGGCAGATGCTCTTTCTATCCCTGTAGCTTGAGAAAATGTAGTGGTATTTTAATTGCGTATGTGAAAGAACATCTTAGGAAATATAGTATTCTTGGCAGGGCTGAATGGTCATGAATTTTGGATCTGTTGGCACTTAATTATTCTCAGAAAAAAAAACAAAACTGGCAGAGAATACAAGGTGGAAAATGAAAAGTTGATCTTACATGATTGTGCAAATTACTATTAAAATTTTACAACTTAAACTTGCATATTTTCCATCTCTGTTCAGTGGATCATTCTTAGTTTGATGGGTGCAATAAGTGAAAGAAAAGGAAGGAGTTCTAAATTAAGTGGGAGTTTGGTTCAAGGCATAGTTTCTGGAGTAAGAACTTGTCATGACACAAATTCTTAAAAAAAACTCTATCGTGTTCTGCTGAAGATCACTGGGAATCAGCCACCCGGGGCGCTGAGTCTGCTAACCATATGTTTTCCTCTGTAAATCCCAGTAAAGTTGCTTTTAGAAAACAGAAGGCAAAAATGGAGGACTGAACAGTTCGGGTCAGAGTTTCCTTGGTCTATAGTTTTGCTGTACAATCAGTATTATTTTACAGCTGCTCTAAAACACATACTGATCTTTTAAATGACTTAATAGATACTCTGTGCTTTGGATTCTCTTTCAGTGGGCTGTGTTCTGGCCTGAGAGTATCCCTTATCAGAGCCTTGGGCCACTGGGCTCCTTCACTCAGTACTTGGCAGATCACCATCAAACCCTCCTGCGCAATGGGTAAGGCTCGCTGGCCACCTGGCAGCCTACAGATAGCATCAGATGTCCAACAGCAAAACCAGTTCCCATTATGACACTTATCCTTTTAAGCCTTCTGTGATAATTTCACCACCTTAAGCTCAAAACACTATTTTTTTTTTTTTTAATTTTGGCTTCAGGTACTGGCTTGCCTGGTTGGTTCATGCTGGAGAGTCCTTATACGCCATGGTATTGTGCAAGTAAGTCTTTGTATCTAAGTTGAGAACAGTTCCATTTAAATAATTCAGACATTGTAGGTCGAGAGCACTCTCGGGGTAGATTTGAATCCCCATTGTGGGAACTTGTCTCAAAAAAAAATTCAGCAACAAAAACAAGCACTGCCTTTCACAGAGCCTCATATTCCCAAGTGGCAGCAAATCTTTAATTTCCTTCCTAAGTACTGTATCTTCACGTACTTCTAGGATGAAATAAGTTCGTTCATTTCAAAACCCATGTTTGCTGATCAAAGTTATACATGTCGTGCTAAAAACTCCAAAGCACATCCATTGAAAGTAAAGGTTTCTCACTATCCCAAAAGTGATTCTGAAGAGATGAGCACATGTTATGATTTATATATGCATCTGCAAACGGTCTTCTGTAGCATTTCCCCATTGTGATATGTGCCTGTTTTTCCATAGTCACTCCACCCATTAACATTAGTGACCAGTATTCTATTACAGCAATGAGCCTCAGTGTCTTTATGAAATCCCTCCTCTGATGGAGTTCTAAGTCTCTGGGTATTTTTATCAGCAGCATTACGAAGAAAATGCATTTCATGCATTTGGCCCACTTGGGTATTTAATTTGAATAACTGCAGATCTGGAATTTAAAGATTAAAGTGTGAGTTCTCTAAGTGTTGGTATCCGTTACCACCTTTTGAAAGGGGGACTCATTTGCATTTCAGACGGGAGTGTATGCCCATTTCCCTCCTATGACTGCTGTTCTCACTGGGCGTCTGACCTTTTCTTATCTACCCATAGGTACTCTTTTTTGTTTCTTGAATTTGAGTGGTTTTCCACTTAGATATTTTGCAAATATACTTTCTCATTGTCTTTTTTTATTCTGCTAAGCCTAATACACAGAAGTTGGTCCGTGGGGTCCAGTGTATGTGTTTTCTGACCCTCGGGAGGTCACGGCTGATGTGAGCGATACAGACTCCTCTCACATCTTGCTACCCGTGACCTCTTCAGAGCTAAAGGTATTGAGGTATTCTTTTACATACAGTGTTTTTAATAGTTCCAGAATCTCACATCTCCCACTCACACCCTTAAAGTACCTGGAATTGATTTGTTTTGAGAGAGAGCCACAGAGAGAGACATTTCTAGCTTTACCTTGTAATTCCCTTGGACCTGAAAAAGAAAGAGCAAAATTATTGGACACTCAGTTATTCCCGAGCCATTCATTAATCCATTCATTGTTCATCATTGTGCCCTGACATGCAGGCATGTACATATGTGACTTTGTTTCTATTTTCCATTTTCTTGTCTTTTTTTTTTTTTTTTTGAGACAGGTTCTCATTGTGTCACTCAAGCTATCTTTGCGTTCACCGTATAGCTCAGGCTGGCCTCAAACACAGAGTGATCCTTCTGCCTCCGCCTCCCAAGCACTGGGATGATAACATGCTTCACTGTGCCCAGTTTGACTCTCTTTCTGAGCTCTCCATTATTTGAAAGAAATGCCAGCACTCAGAAGACTGAGGCAGGAAGATTGCCATTTGGAGGCCAGTCTGTTCTATGAGCAGTGGGCAGAGTGGCTCAGTGAGTTAAAGGCCAGCCTGAACTACTTAGGAAGACTGTGTCTCAAAAAAACAAAACAGTAACTCTGTGAAACCATAAAATTTAATCCAAGTGTTTAAATTTTGCTCTTTCTTTTTCAGGTCCAAGGGGATCACAAGCCCGCAGGCCCGGCTGCTGTGGTTCCTACAGACGTTCCTCTTTGGGGTGGCATCTCTGTCCATCTTGATTGCCTACAGACCAAAGCGCCAAAAACGCACTTAGGGAGCTGGCCCTTCGAGCCTAGGTAGAGCCCTCTGGCTGCTCGTTTCTCCTTCCCATTCTCTGGCTGAGCTTGAACAGACCAGGGTTACTCAAGAGAGACCTGAGAACAGCCATGGCTCTCCATTTCTGCAGTATCACCTGTTAGGCAGCAGCTTCGGCCACCTTGAAGCCCACAGCTTTCCGTGGCTCTCCTGGCACCTGGGTAAAGGCACATATTAGGCACATACAGGCGTGTTGGGGTACTTTGCCCCTCAACCCTCACTACCACCATTCCGCTCTCCTTTCCCAAATGTTTTTTTCTGGACCAAGTGACACTTACACAATATATCGATTGCCCATCCTTTTACCAGACACCTCTGAGGCAGGGTTCTCAGCCACTCAAACTGCAGAAAGAGCTAAGAGAAAAGATACCTGGCATGGAGCCGGCTGCACGGAGCCCCAGGGACATGCCCAACCCAGGAGCAGGCGCTGCCAGCTGGAAGGAATTCGTCCCTACCCATGGCACCTGGGACTGAGCTCGGGGTAGTGGCAGTATCTGGTGGCCACAGCTAGATTGTTCCTTACTTCACACAGTGTCCTGTCCCCTACCAGCGCTGAGATGCCTTACATGTCACTCGACAGAGGAAGGACACTGGTCATCTCACTCTCCACTTCTCTGGCATTCCAGTTGTATGCCAACATTTCCAAAGGCACTCAGTGTCCCCTCAGCTCAGCAAAAAGACACAGGTGGTGCCATGATTCTCCACTGCCTTCAGGGAAATCTGGATCTTTTTCCTGCTCTCTGTCACTTTCTCCTTCCTGCACTGGATTCCTTGGTTGCACACCATCGTGTTCTAGAGATCCAAGTCTATGTGTCACCCAGCTGGTTGCCGCCTCCCCCATCTGCTTGTTGGGGAAGGAGGGCCACTGTGTTCTCTCCCCTACCCTGGAAGAAGGAGGAATGATTCTGTCACTCCCCGGGACCCCCTGACCCTTCTCTGCGGACCAATGCTCATTTCCCTTCCATGATACAATGGATGGGGCAACAAACATCAGAAACAGCTTGCTCCCAAACAGCCCTGAAAGATTATGGACCACGTAGTATTAAAGCCGGATCCTCTCTAAAGGCAGATTATGGGGGGAAATGGGCTGACCGGAATAAAATGAATTGTCTCCAAATGCTTCACCTGCTTGCTTTTTTGTCATTTTCCATATATTGTCACACATTTGATTCTTTTTCTGAACCAGGCTCTAATATGGAATCATTTGTACAATTCAAGTGTCTGTCTGTCTGTCTTTCACTGATAAAATGCAGGCTGCCCTGGTGGTAGAATATGTATGTATTTCCTCTGTTTGTGGACCTGTCCGTGGCCTTGGAACTCTGGGTGAGGCACTGGGGTGGACACCAGTGTCTTCACTGTTCCATCATGTTTTTTCAATGAGAATTTTATTTTTATTTTGTGGTAGGATCTGGGAAAGTTGCTTAATTGTCCAAACTGGGCTTGCACTTTGGATCTTCGTGCCTCAGCCTCCCAGAATGCTGGGATTATAGGAGTGTGCCATCACATCCCACTGGCTCCCTTTTATTAGAGAAAAATGTTTAGAAAACTAGATCTAGCGTACTCCTTGCTGACTCAGCATCTGCAGAACATCTGCAGTGAACAGAACTAGGAAAATTGATTCTTTAAGACTCATGAATTGATTCCATAGTCTTATCCTTATGTCAGAGAAGTTATCTTTTATTTACTAAATGGTACTCAATTTTAAAATTATTTTTTCCTATATATATATATATTTTTTAGGGGGAGTGGAGACGGTCTCACTCTGTAGTTTAGTCTGGCCTTAAATTCACTGTGTGGCCCAGGCTGGCCTCAACTCTGAGGTGATCCTCCTGCCTCAGTCTCCCAAGTGCTGGGATTACAGGTGTGTGCCACCTTGTTCACTATAATTTCCTTTATGTATAAAGCATTGACAAGGACAAAAGGCAGAACAGCTGAGCATGGTAGTGATGCCTGTAATCCCTGCACCCAAGAGGCTGAGACAGGAGGATCACCTTGAGTTCAAAGCCAGTGTTTATAGTGAGTTGAAGGCTGGCGTGAGCTACATAGTGAGACTGTCTCAAAAAAAAAAAAAAAAAAAAGGAAAAAGAAAAAATCAGGCCACACAGGCAGTTCAAGACAGCCTGAACTACATAGTGAGACCCTGTCAAGAGAAGAGAAAGAAGAGGGGAAAGGAGGAGAGGGGAGGAAGGAGACAAAAACAATATAAAAAGACACTTGGAGAAGCCTTCTTTCCCCACCCAACCCCTTCCACCTCATTCCCATCCACCCCTATTGGGGTGGGAGGGGTTAAAGTGTGCATCACAGGCGGTCACCTGAATTCTGCCCTTCCGCATGGCGTGGAGCCCAGCAGGTGCAACCCACCACACACGTGCTCCCGGGAGAGGACGGGACACAGCACTGCCTGGCGTGCTTTTGTGTTCATCCTAGGCACACCTGGCTGTCAGCGGCCATCTGCGCTACTTCCCTTCCTGCTAAGCAACAAAACATCTGGTCTCCCTGTGAACAGGGAGCAGCAGCGTGGAGTGAGGCACCCAGATTAAACTCCCTGCCCACAGTCACCAGGTCCCCGCTCTGTCCTGGGGAGCAGCATTGTCTAGAGGCTTGTCCCACATTTTAAAAGGTTCACATTCACACCACAAGGGATACAAGGAATCATAAATCAGATTTTCTCGGGAAAGCACCCTAAGAAAAAGAAGGGATGGAGATGTGGCTCAGTAGTAGAGCAATTGTTCACCATGAAAAAGGCCCTGGGTTCAGTCCCTAGCAGTGGAGAGAGAGAGAGGGAGAAAGTGAGAGACAGAGACAGAGAGACAGAGAGACAGAGAGAGACACAGAGAGAGACACAGAGAAGCAAGAAACATCTTTTTTCCTTTGGCAACAGGGAAACCACATCTTTTATTTACCCTTCTCTAAAAGTATTATTAACTTCTTGTTTGTCCTTCCAGTATGAAATTTTGTGAATAAAAGCAAATACATGTAAGTACTCTCCCTTCACCTCTCTCCCACATGTCAGATCTGAAAGAGATGTCCCCTGGGAGGGGGTTTTAATTTTAATTTACTAGTACATGTGGCAAATTGGTTCACGTACACACACCTTAATTCCTTTTCTTCCACTCTCCTCCCCACTCCACCTGTCTCTTAACGTCCCCTGCCCAGCCTTTTAGTACATGTTTGCAACACATAATATCTTGGGCTCACTAATGCAGCTTAGGATGACTTCAAATTCACAGTGATCCTCCTGCCTCAGCCTCCCAAGTGCTGGCACACACCACTACATCCAGTGACTGCAATTTTAATGAACTGGAATTAGTTACCCTAAAACGATCTGAAAATCTTAGCACATGCCTATAATCCCAGCACTCAGAAAATTGAAGCAGGAGGATTGCTTTGAGTTAGACGCCAGCTTGGGCTACAAAGAGAGTTCGAAGCCAGCCTAAAATGCATATGAAACCCCATCTCAGAAAGACAAAAAATAAAATAAATCAGAAAACCTAAGCTGAATTCATTCACCTTCCTAGGTTTGCTGCTGTAGTACTGGGGTACGAAGTCACCCATTCACTAATCCCAATCAGGGCAAAGGTACCAAAATCTAGGACAGACTAGATTTATATGAATCTCGTGGGAACGCTACTTCCCATGGAAAAAAGTACAGCAACAACACCGCTACCCGCCTAGAAAATAGAGAAACAACAAATCACATTTCACCTGTCACTGTTGTTTTTCCTTAAGAACAAGGCAGTGAGCGGAGTATATGGAACAGGGCTGGACCCGCCCATGACTGTCACCTGACCCACATGAAGTAACCCTATCACCTTGGGTAAGTTTCATCCTGCCTTGGAGTCTCGGCATCTCCTTCTTCCTGTTTAATTCCCCTTTATCCCCATTTTCCTACTGTCCCCAATTTAGCAACAATTCTGATGCATTTTATGTGCATACGTTCTTTCACAAACATGCAGTTTTACGTGTATTTTTTATTGAGGTGAAGGGTAGCGTATTACATTTCTAACTGAAAGATCCACTCATGTTGCTTGCTGTGTCCACTGCTGCTTGACCATGGCATCTTGGCTCTGAGAACTCTCTTGAGTACAGAAGCTGATTTATCTGATTTTCATTTCATTCTTTCCTCACTTGCCAGTAAGAGCTGAGCTGCCCGCATTCCAGGTCGCTGTCTCAGAGGTGGAGAGAAATCTGTCTGCAAGAAACCAAATTCTCCACTCTTGGTGGATGAGAGGGTAACAACAAAGCAAGCCTGGGCTGGCTCACTTGCAGTAACTCATTTTGGAAGCCTCTGGATGTCTTTATTTTGCTCAGCTGAGCTGGAATCGCATTAAACTATGCAAGATGTGAGATAAAACCCGGACCCACAAACATGACGGTAATCAGAATGCGGAAAGGAATGCAGAAATCTCCTCCAGCCTCCTTTTACACAGTGGGAAACGGAGGGAAGTAAGCACAAGGGAAAAGCCACTCAACCAGTTTGGTTGCAAATCTAGGTCCCTGGTGTCTTGCTGCTTCACAAAGCGGCCTGTCTGCTGTGTTGGCTGAGACACCACAGCCATGCTCCCAGCAGCCTGCCTCATCTCCCAAGTATTTTGCGACTATTTTCCAAGAACGAGGCATTAGGAGAGAATAACTTCTGTCATTGTTAGCTGCCTTAAACCCCAGCATCCTGTTCCCATTCCTGGCGCCTGCTCTTGATACCATGGCAATGCACAAATATGTCGAACGCTCAGCAGTCCCAGGGGCTTTCTGGTCATTGGTTAAAGGCAGCAATAATACGTTGCACATGTCCTCGGAATGGGGGTATTTATAGCATTTATGAAGCTTCAGCATCTGCACAATCAGAGCTTACAACAGGCTTGTGTTCTGGGTATTACAGCATTTCCTAGGAAACCAATAATAAATACATTATGAAATTTCACCCTTCAAAGCGTCACTAGGATTATCCTGGCACCGTCGCGGCTCCTGCAAAGCACACTTTGACCAGAGGAGGGTTCCGTATGCAATCACACCAGTCCTTCAAGGTTGCAGAAAGTCCTGCTTTTGTGTTAAAAATAAACCAAGAGCTAAGCGTCAATCACATACTCGCGGCATAGGGGGCGCTGTGCTTAGGGACCCGCCCGCATTCTCCCCTACCCCTCCCCGCTGCAAAACACAAGGCCTAAGGAGTTAGTAGCTTGTTTCCAAGAACTAGTGAGTGGCAGAACCAAGCAGCAAACCTAAAACCCTGTACTCCACAGTCCCTGTCTGTAACGTGCTCAGGACTAACTAGTTGTAAACGACAGAGGTCACCCGCGGTGTCAAGCTGAGCTCTGGGATGGAGGTGTGGTGTCCTCAAACCCTACTGTGAATCCTTAGAGTTACAGTAAGAAACACGTTGCCAAGAATCCTCCTCAAAATGCTTTCTCTCGCTTCTTCTTATTTCTAATTGTTTATTGGTACATTTTGAGTATACATAATGATCTCATTCCTCATAGGAAATTTGTACCTGTCTGGGTAAAACTTGATTCTTTTTTCCCCACCCTTCTGTGGGAAGCCGCCTATGAATGGCGCCCATTTCCTGCTTCCGGGTTCTTCCCGGCCTGAACAAGCCCGCCAAATTGTCATATCTGCCCAGTTACCCGTGACGCTAGCCTATCAGCTTGTTAGGCGCGCTTCTCTGTGATTGGATACTGCTTCCCCTTATAAGAGGTTGTTCCTGCCCCCAACGGGCGGAAGAGGAACCAACGTTGAGGGTGGCGGACCTTGTTAGGTCCGGTTCGCTGTACACAATAAACTTTGAGAGCTGATCCTGCTCGAGTCTGGCCTCCTGTCTCCCGCGGCTCCGGTCATCTGGTGGCCCGTACGGGGAAAAAGGTAAAAGACTCAGCAACGTGCCTCTTCAGCCGGGAGGTGTGATTGCTGTCGCCTGTGGTACGACGGAGGACCTGGCCCAATAACAACGGAAGGCCCCGAGCGCCTCTTCTCTTCACCCTGATCAGCTACATGAGATACAGCGGTTCCCGGGACAGGTGAGTACTGGATCACCTGGGTTGGGTGGACGCACCTAACAGATTTTGAGCGCCACACGGGTGGACGCCGGTCTTTTTTTTTTTCCCTTGCATTTGTTTCGCTTTC